ATTGGTAAACTTACGCGTTATTATCGTCAAAGAATGCTTTGTTCCACAATAAACACGCACGTATAACCTGATTGTAACCTAACGTAGCTTCTTAACACTGATGGATCAATTCACAATGTATGGGTCGAACATGGGTTGCATTTGGGTTATTTGTCTAGTAACCTAAAACAATACTCGTGACGTCATTAATCGCTCCCGGAGCGATTAATCCTGGTCCAGTCGAAAACGCTATATGTGGCGATCGAACGAAAAACCAACAATGTTTTGTTTGGTTTTGAACCCAGGTCTTCGGATTACCAGACCAGCGCACAATCCTCTGCGCCACGATCGCCACAATGTAGTGTATCATAAAAATTCTCTTGCATTTCCATATTTAACATATGCATTTCTTTTTTTAACAATTTCTGCAGGAGTTAGACTATTTTAAGGATAATAAATCTAAACATGAGTTGTCAGCAAAGGCTAGACAAGCTATATCTTTCATTCACGATCAGTTCTCATCGAAGCATCCACGTGTCATAGGACAAACACGAGAACAGGCAACGAAAAATAAGGAAGATTTTTCTCTCAATTGTCCAGATGATGAGATCCTTCAGTGCTGCCTACAGATTCAGCAATTAAAAAAATCAGTGGTAAGTTAACCTTCTGTTACGCCCTACAGTATTACATATTAACGAATAAAAGTGTTATTTCTATTTTATATTTATAGGTTTTGTTATCTTATGACAAAAATCTCTGCACTAAAACAATGATATATAATATACTGGCATTGGGGCGTCATGATCCGCTTGAAAAAATAGAAAATTTTGAATCGGAGAATAAAATAATCAATCCTTTGAATGGTGATTCCGTTGAAAATTCTGTCTTTCACGAAGAATTGCGTTTAACGGATGATGTTTTTGAGGACATAAAATTGATTATGAAAAACTTTCTGTCAGCGGTACGCATCCTGCATTAGATTATAAAATATCAAATTTCACGAGCTTACGTATCAAACGAATATTTTTATTTCAGATAATCGTGAAGCAAATGTCACAGATTTTTGGAGAAGCAGAGTGGAAAATATATGTCATAATAAAACCACCTTGGACTACGGTAACGGCATTAAAATGTGCTATAAAGCATTGGATTGCTGCTATTAATGAATCGTTCGAAAGACGCGCTGAATATCTCCTAAAAGAATTGCTTGAAGCTTTTGTACATATACCAGGTATACTTACACTTGCGTAACCTATTAAAGCTCCTTGTAAAACTATATTCTGCAACCTGAACCTTGATGTTTCTTTCAGTTGGTGGCAGAAAATTGCAAGATGTTGAATATATTATAGAGAAGAGTAGCACCTTGGTACAAATCGCTGATGTGAATAAATACCGTGATCTCACGGCCAAAACGTTTAATGCTATTACAGTAATATATCTTATTATTTAAATGTTTAAACACTTTGTTATTGTGGAAAGGAGGTAAAAAATTTATACTTTCAGGAACTCAAGGAGAAGTGTAAGAGATATATCACTGACATAAATCTGAAAAAATTACACAATAAAATAGGCATCGCAAATAATGCCGAAGAACAAGAAACGAGAGCGGGAAAGGTGTTCCAATGCTTCCAGTATATCTATAATTATGCACGTGACATATGGTGAGTTATACACACTTATACACACACATATACATATAATTTTATACGCACCTATAGATACATGCAAACAAATTATGGTTATTAATGAGGATGTATATAATGCAAATGTGATATGTATTAATAAGTGGAATATTGCTATTTCTATCTTTGTAATTAGATATTATTTCATTTGTATTTCGTAACAGTGGTTTGGCATGTAACAATGCGGGAATGGCATATTCCTTTGCCTTCGAAACTCCTGCCAACCCAGCATTGTCACAAGTGTTTATACAGCGCTTGCAATCAGAAATTACCAAAAAAGTAATTGATCTGACACAGAATCTGAATGAGTAAGTTATCTCTAAGCCCAAGGGTAGTAACCTAGTATTTCTTGTGTAAGCAATTACCTGAGATTTTTTACATCCCTGTTAAATTACACAGTGATATATATTATATATTATATATTATTGATTGTTGTATGGTTTATTAGTATTATTATGAGAGAGAATTCTTGATCCATAGAGAACACTTGTAATTGAGCTTTATTTCCTCACTGCTAGGATGCAAAAATCATTTTGGGTGATGGTGTCAATCTATTAATAATGATAATATATGTGTAGTCTATTAGTCAAGTTATTTTATATTATATTACATGTATATTTATGCAATATTTTTTGTAATCAGGTTACTGGCACAGGCTGAAGATGTCATGAAATATCAAACGTTGCTTAGTTTACAGCAAAATTTAAATACATTTTTGCCTGACACGCCGACAATAACTTTCGACGTTACACCTTTGGATATATATTATTGTGTCAAATTAAAAGAAGAAGCACTGAAAACTGGACTAAGGCAGCTACAAGAATTAACTTCGCATTTCTGTGCACTAGCTGCTCATATATAGTTGTGTATTGTGTAATTTATATCTTTGGTGTATATAGAGGACATATAAAGATTAACAAAAATGAATATACATTTAGTTTATTTAATATATTAACAAAATATTACAAAAATAATCTTAATATTATTATAAATGAAAATTACTGTGACGTGATTTATGGGTAAAAGTATTTTGGAATTATTTTTCGCTGATTATATTGCGCACGCGAGAAGTGTGTCGTTTGAGATAAAAAATTAAAGTTTATCCATGTATTTTTATCCCCGAATTAATATAACTTTATTGATACAAGTAAGTCCCCTGAAAATTTTGCATACGTAACATTCTTCATTAGCGGTATTTTTTTGTAGCTGTGTAAACTAAGAAAGATTTATTTTATTCTTCTAATACGTAGATGTTTCTTGTCTATGAATTAATGCTCATTTTGGGTACAGTTATTTGTCTAGTAACATAAAACAAAGCTCGTGACGTCATTAATCGCTCCCGGAGTCCAGTCGAAAACGCTATAAAATATAACCGCACGTCGCACGAAGTTCGATAACAGCGTGGGAGTTTGCTGTTTATTGCAAAAGTGGGTGGAGGCGCAGCACCATTTTGCAGTAACACCTCGACAAAGGAATACGCATCAAAATAGTCAAAACCAGTCACGATAACCTGTCGTTTGTAAAGCTATAGAAGTTGATTAAAATTGTCAATTCAAAATTCAGTGGGGAAAATCATAAACAGGGCGAACCAATCAGATGCTAGGTACCGCATGTCCAGACTCTGATTAGAGGATCTCTAACCTGTATGTAAAACCGTAGGCTCGATTATGAATCTTTTTCTCGAGCGTAAACTTGTGAAGAGTGAAAAATTTCACTTTTTACGAGTTCACGCTTGAGTCTTGGCTCTCATGATCGAGTCTCTGCTCCGGTGGGTGCATTGTCAATTTTTTCAACGTTAACGCGATGTGACGCAGGCTTAAAACTGTCGTGCGGAGAGTTTCAAAACCGCCGCTCTCGATTACGAAAGTAATTATCTTCGGGTAAGACAGCATTTGTGTTACCTACGGCAACATTTGTCTCGCGAGTTCACAATCGTCCAGGGTAATCGTAGAAGCGTAATGGCTGGTAATAGCTCTTTAACATTCTGGACGCTAACCCGGTTACGTCACGTTTGCGCGGCACCAGACCGCATTTTTCGTGTGTCACGTTCATTGCGCGTTGGTTTCGCGAGTAATCAACTGTATTTGCGAATCTGCCGACGTTATTCCGCATCAATTGCACCGTTGTTCGTAAAAGGAAATCGTGTTCTCAATTATTTGTCAGATTGCAAGACATTTTTTATACATGGGTTTTCATTTTCGTGCACCTTATTTTGTAACCATCTTATTGCTTTATGTAATTGATGTGCCCCTCCCCCCTTCTATATGCTTGCACCACATAGTTACTTGAAATAACATGGATTCTCAATTGGTTGTCTAGGTATCAGGTTGATAGAGTTCAAGGTATATCTGCAAGGATTTACTGTGAATACTGAGAGCAAAAATAAGAAATTGGAGAATGATGAGGATGACGGCAATTCCAGCTAAGCACACTCTTCACAGCGGTATTTTCCATCCTGTTATACGGGAATGGCAGTCGCCAAACGTCGAGATTACCGTTAACAATCTTATGTATCCTATATTTGTCTCGTAAGTTTGGCATTTGGTCACGACGACGTATATAAGTGTGTTTCAATCAATTATTCCTAGACCCCGAATGGTTGTATTATGTAAATACATAGAGTTATTAGTATACGATTTATGCCTGTTGCGCTGTTGTACAAATGAAACTTTTACGCATGGTTGTAGGGACGACGAAAATGCTGAGGAACCAATTAACAGCATGCCTGGTGTGTATCGCTATGGGATTAATCAGTTGGATAAGATGTTGCAACCTCTGGTTGCAAAAGGTTTGCAGTCCGTTTTGTTATTCGGTGTATCTCAGCGTCTTGAAAAGGTAACGTTCATGAAGCACGGTAATATAATCTTTCTAAAGCTGTACAAAATATGTTGCAAAACTTGTTGTGCGCTTCATTATTTTACTATAATTTTGGATATTTAATTAGGTGAGATTTCGATGATGCAATAGAATAATTCTATTACAATTATTCTATAAGTTATGAATTCTGTGCGTATGTTTTAAATATTAAATATTAGTCCGTATATTTATTTTAGGACGAAATCGGAAGCAACGCCGATAGTATACGGAATCCTATTATTCAAGCTGTACCACTGTTGCGCGAGAAGTTCCCTAATTTATTAATAGCATGCGATGTTTGCCTGTGCCCATACACGAGTCATGGGCACTGTGGTATTCTCAACAACGACGGCAGCATAAATAACACGAGTAGCATCCAACGGCTCGCCGAGGTTGCAGTATCGTATGCAAAAGCTGGTACGAGATTACGTTTCTGAAAATTGTTTCCACGGTACAGTTGTGTAATCTCTGCTTAATGAAATGTGGTGCGTCGCAGGCGCGCAAATTGTTGCGCCATCGGACATGATGGACGGCAGGATAAGCGCGATAAAGCATGGTTTAGCCGCCGCTGGATTTGCGAATAAAGTCGCAGTCTTGTCGTACGCTGTAAAGTTCGCATCCGGACTTTACGGGCCTTTCCGGGACGCGTCGCAATCCGCGCCGAAGTTCGGCGATCGCAAATGCTACCAGTTACCTCCTGGTAGTAACGGATTGGCAGCTAGAGCTGCTGTAAGTTTCATTCCATTTATTAGTAATTTTTTCCTTATTGTAGCTCGAGTATTATTTCTGTAATCCTTGAAGGATATTTAATGGGAGTTTATAGACGTATAATGTCTATGCCTGCAAAATCATATTCAAATTACATTGATGGGTCCTATTTCATCTGTCTTGCGAGCTGCATTATGAAAATAGAGTTTACGTGCTTTAATTTATATGTGTGATATATGGAATATTTACTTTTCCAAAGGCAAGAGACGTGGATGAGGGAGCAGACATGCTAATGGTGAAGCCGGGCCTGCCTTATTTGGATGTTGTCCGGCACACGAAGGACGCGCATCCAGAGTATCCTATATTTGTGTATCAGGTGTCGGGGGAATACGCTATGTTGTATCACGGTGCACAAAACGGCGCGATCAACTTAGAGAATGTGCTCAACGAAATATTGCTCTCTATGAGAAGAGCGGGTGCTAATTGTATCATAACGTACTTCACGCCATTAATATTGGATATGCTGCAACCGAAGAGCAAGTTATAATTAGAAATTGGCACAAAAGAAAAAGACAAATTGTAAACCGTTTGATTTACACATCTAGATAGAAATTGTATAAAATTAATTTTACATTAGGGCATGCTCTGTCCTTCATCTGTTTCTCGCAATCAGTCTGCTATCTAAATTTCCAGAAGGTTCAGCTGTAGCTTTTCGAAATCCTTTCAGTCTGAATGTTTAGAATCAGTTTAATCTCACTTTTTCTGTCTGTCTTTCGGAGCTAGTCTCAGTCTTTTAGTGTTGATTTTTCAATTCAGATTATGTTGTGGTTACTCAAATAGTATTTATTTGAGTACAACCAAATCTTGCATGACATGAAATAATCGCGAAATAGAGACTAATTTCTAAAGACACACTAAAAGCTACCGATAACTGTTAAGCATCTGCTTCAATTTTTGATTCCTTTATTGAGACATTGCTTCGAAATACTTTTGGTTCTTCCTACATTTATATCCTATTATTAGTACTTGAACGTTAAATCAAGTACGTTTCAAGTAACTTTATGTACTATGTCTTGATTCCAGTTAGCATTTAAATATCCTATTCGAGTCACTTTCGATTTCGTTTGCTGTGAATACGTAAACATTAATCCGTTTCAAGTTATTCTTGATTCCTTTCGATTTTAATCCATTACTTGGACAAGTCACTTTTCGAGCTTGAAGAAAAAAACAAGTACAAAAGGGTGGCAATTTTATACGATCAATGAATGACAAAGTTCTAAGCTAATTATTTATTAATTATTATAATAAAAAGATGCGGGATAAAGTTTAGAAAATTATGCGTAAACGTGCTTCACTGGATTAAGCATAAGTTTGACAAATTCTGTTAGTTATTTCTTTTAATTTGCATTGAATGATGTTGCATTTCGTCATTCGCACGTCATCCAGACTTGTTTCTGTGTCAGAATACCAACGAAATAATGACGTGGCGCGATGCGTAACAGGCGTTCCATTTAATTCACCACCTAAGAACGGGCAGGTACCGTTAGAGTAAACGGTGCCACGGTGTGTGCAAACCCTGATCTCGGAACGAAGTAACGTGTGCCGTCGTCCGTTTTCTACATTCGTGTAACGTTATACAAAATTTCCGTAATTTTGTGTAACAAATTTCTTATTGTTTCAAGACATTGTAACCGAAGATGTACTTATACATGTATACATACATTAATAGATAAAAGATCCAATACTAAGACAATATTAAGATAAACTTTTAGGGTCACTTACACATATTTTTATCAAAATATCTTTACGTTTATACTTTTCTCTTTTTATTACCAAGAGGAAAAGTAATAAAAATTGTTATTTTTATTCAGTGATTTTTATTGACAATTCAGTATCACATTATGATCTTTGCGTATGTATGCTTGTATACATCAAATAAGTACATGGTTGTATATATGATTGTATAAATCAAAAACTACTTTTGTAGTTTTTTATTTAAAAAACTATACTTGATCATATAAAATATTGAATATACAATCCTTTAAAATATTTTAAAGGATTGTATATTCAATATTTTATATGATCATCTTTTAATAGGTGTAATATATACATTTAATGTCATTTTAAAATGTGTCAATCTATACACTGAAGCATTTATAATCTTCGTGTAAAATTTGAAAACACTGACAAATACTGATGAAAATATTGCAATGTTTTCGATTACAGTGTGTGCAGTCTTATACGTATTTTAGAAAGCATATTTTTTCCAAAAAATAAATAAAATCTCTTCCAATATAGTAAAATCATTTATTAAATATTTCTCCTATATCGCATCTTAACATAATTCCGTAACAGTATGTTAAATATAAAAGCTCGACGTGAAGATTTTCGAATGGCCGCGATTTTTATATCTTTTTGCGTTTCCCGAGATAATCGGGATACTGATTTATTGTGCATTATTAAGATAAACGTTAACGAAACCGATACTAGGTAAAAGCCAATGCATGCACAATTCTGTTACGGTCGGGGCCCGCGGTTTTTTACGTCCCTGCAAAAGTGATGCAACTGTTCTTATTAGAGCGAGTCGGATCCGGATGCCTCCCTTTACATGACTAAAAATGGAGTTAATATATTAATTTTATTTGTTTAATACATAGTTTTCTGCTCATTCCAGTCATTGTAGTTTTTATTTATTGTGAGAGGTACATTAAATAAACGTTTCAAAAACGGTCTTTCTTTCGTTAAAGGAAACGTTCGGATAAGATTTTTATCGCATCGTCATTTTTGTCTTACATATTTGTCAGGGAGGACTGTTGCACTCTTTTTTTTCATCAGATTAACCGACTAATAAAAAATTTTCAACCAATAAACAATAAAATTCGTAAGGCTCTGACGTGAAATCACTATTTAAAGGAATAAAGGATATAAGAGCCAAGACAAGATGTTAGTGTCTGCATGATTTTTATTTTTAAATTTATTCCGAAAAATTTACTTCAGCCAGGGTTTGTTTAAAATAAATTTAAAACTTTTAAACATTTAGACACCAACACCCCGTCTCGGTTCTTACATCCTTGCTTCCTTTGAATTGTAAAACTAATAATTAATACGCGTTTGATACAAAATAAACGCGTAAACTGTGTAAACCTTCCACTTGTCACTCGTCTCTCAACAATTATCATTTCATTATCAGATTACTAAGACTCGGGAATTTCTCTGCTCAAAATATTAGAATATGATCAGATCACACTAGAAATAAGAGTTTTATCAATTCACATTGGAATTGCGTGCAATCTAACGTAGCCTGATCAGATTTTATTTATTTTAAACAGGGTTGTCAATTTTTCAACTCGCGGAAAAAATATCGACCATTTTTTTCCGGACACGATACGACGACGATCGACTGCTGACGCGAAACCCGTGAAACTAATCGCGATGTGAAAAAAAAAACCAAAGCGCGCCTCATCGCGGGACGGGCGCGACGGGCGCAGGGGCCGTCCCTGGCGCGTCGCGCGGCGCTCGCGGGTACGGCGCGTTCCACGTGTTCCAGCTGCCGTATCTAATCGGCCGGCCGCGAATCGCGGCGGCGCGCGCGGGCTCTGGAAGTAGACGAGCGTGACGTGGGCCAACGAGGCGCGGCCAACTGTATGCGCGCCCGCGAATCAACGCCGCGGCCTTCCGCGGTGGCCGCGCGGCTCCCGCCAATCGGCGCCGGCCACGACGTAACACTCCCGTTAATATCCCGGCCCTCGAGTCCGGTGCCGATGTCAGTCGTCGCTACACCGTTCGCCGAGAGAAACGTCGTGACTAGACTTGCCGAGGAGCGCGAGGGAACGTTGAGCGGAGCCGAGCCGAGCCGACACGCGTCCAGCTGGTGAGTCGAGTCCCCGATCCGGGCGTTTTCCGACGTCGCCGTCGGGACGTTCCGCTCCGTCGGAGCCCGCCGCCGCCGCCGCCGCCGACGCCGCCGCCGCCGACGCCAGCCGACGTCGACCGCAATTCGATCGTCCTCGAAGAGAGAACTCCCGTTCCCCGCGGGCGATCTCTCCGGGCGTTCCACGTCGCCCCCCGCTGTCAATCGGGAATTGTCACTCGCGCAAACGGCGGCCCCCTTCGTCGCTCTCGCGTTTTATCCGCGCGCCGTTCGGCAACGGCCGCGTTACGGTATTTCTCCCCTTTTTCCCCCCTGGGTTTTTTTTTCTTGGTGTATTTGGAGAGGCCGAGAGAGAATCTCGGTGCCACGTCCGACGCGAGCGTGCGAGCGAGCTCGCCACGAGCGCGGAAACTCCCCGCGTGTCTCCCGTCCTTGCCACGATGTCAAAGACGTTCGTTAAGTTGCGAACGGCCGCGCGGCAATTGATCGATATCGCGTCCCTGCGGCGCGTCGAATTTTCCGGAATCGTCTCTTCGAGAGGATGACGTGTGACTTTGCTCGCCGAAACACGTTCGGCGCGCGAGTACCCGCGATAGCTCGTGGAAGCTGATTTTCCTTTTAACTCGTCGAACGCGAGAGGTTTTACTAAAATCAGGAAACTTTTTCTCTCCCTTTGGTGTACACGGACGGAAATGTAGATCCGATATCCCGAGGCTGCGTTCGGAAACATCCACCCCGAGTGCCCTGGTGTATCGTTTTATCTTTCTCGCTCAGCAAATGGTAAACAAGGATAAAATGGACACACTGGGGCACTCGAGTGACCAGTTTTCCAGCGCAACTTAAATACACGATCGCGATGATAAAAAATACGGAGATACTTTCCGTGAGTTTGCTCCAAGACTCAGCTCCGTAACTTGATAATTTAAAAATTGGAAGATTCCTACAAGTCGCCAGAGGTAATTAAAAACGTGAGAACTTTTTTCCCCGTGTCTGGCAAGTTTAATACAGTTGAAATTCACAACGTTCCGACCACAGTTTTTGGTCCTTTTCAAGCGACAATCATATGTGTTACATCGAAAGACAAAGGTGTTGATTTCTCGAGACTCCGAACGTGACATATGTTCATCAGTCAACACCTTTGTCTTTCGATGTAACACATGATTGTCACTTGAAAAGGACCAAAAACTGTGGTCGAAACGTTGTGAATTTCAACTATATTAAACTTGCCAGACATGGTCAGAAAAGTTCTCATGTTTTTAATAATTTAATCCCTCGTCAAAGTTAAGGGACGATAGTTTAAAAAAATTCTCCAAATGCAAGAAGTGTTACACTGATAATACATGTATAATATAAATTTTGTGTTTTTTCTGTGTAATAAAGAAAATTCGAGATCTTACGGTGTATTAATTCTGCGATTGTTGGTGATGCAGGAACAGTTGATACCAAGAGCACGCAATATGAAGGGAGGACTCGAGGTTTTACTGATAGTGGGACTGCTGTCAGTCGCCACGTATGCGAAAGAGGACAAGGAGAAGGAAGACATTGGCACGGTGATAGGAATTGATCTGGGCACAACTTACTCTTGGTGAGCACACCGGAGACACGTTGAAAGTAAAGGAATCAGCAATTTGCTCGTCAGCAAGTCAATAATACGTCGTGTTTACTTTCAGTGTCGGAGTTTACAAGAACGGTCGCGTGGAGATCATCGCCAACGATCAGGGTAACCGAATCACGCCCTCCTACGTGGCGTTCACCAGTGACGGCGAGCGCCTGATCGGCGACGCCGCCAAGAATCAGCTGACGACGAACCCGGAGAACACCGTGTTCGACGCCAAGCGGCTGATCGGCCGCGAGTGGTCGGACCCCACTGTGCAGCACGACGTCAAGTTCTTCCCGTTCCCGGTCATCGAGAAGAACAACAAGCCGCACATCAAGGTCGATACCAGCCAGGGTGAGAAGGTGTTCGCGCCCGAGGAGATCTCGGCCATGGTGCTGGGCAAGATGAAGGAGACCGCCGAGGCTTACCTTGGCAAGAAGGTCACTCATGCGGTAGTTACCGTGCCGGCTTACTTCAACGACGCGCAGAGACAGGTGAGGCCTGCGACAAGTTTCGATTCGGTTGTTGCCTTGAAAGAAACAAGATTGCAGGCTCCAAGTGCCGCGAGTACTAAGAGTCTCAAAGAGAATTTTGTAACGCGGAAATATGCGTAGCGATAAATTAATTCTGACTTCTTCGTACCAGGCCACCAAGGACGCTGGAACGATTTCCGGCCTAGTCGTAATGCGGATTATCAACGAGCCGACTGCCGCTGCGATCGCGTACGGTCTGGACAAGAAAGACGGCGAGAAGAACGTGCTGGTGTTCGACCTGGGCGGTGGCACCTTCGACGTCAGTTTGCTCACCATCGACAACGGCGTGTTCGAAGTCGTTGCCACTAACGGCGACACGCACTTGGGAGGTGAGGATTTCGATCAGCGTGTGATGGACCACTTCATCAAGCTCTATAAGAAAAAGAAGGGCAAGGACATCCGCAAGGACAACCGAGCTGTGCAGAAACTGCGTCGCGAGGTCGAAAAGGCTAAGCGAGCGCTCAGCGCCAGTCACCAGGTGTGTACACGTTTTGTTTTTACATTTACATCTTTTATCCGCCCCCGTCTTTGAAATAGATTTGCTCTCTTGCCGTCTTTATGTCGATTAATTGTTATGTATATTTGCATGTAATTTTCTTTGTGTACCATGCAGGTCAGGATCGAGATCGAATCATTCTTCGAGGGCGAGGACTTCTCCGAGACCTTGACTCGTGCCAAATTTGAGGAGCTGAACATGGACCTCTTCCGTAGCACTTTGAAGCCCGTGCAAAAGGTCTTGGAAGATTCCGACATGAGCAAGAAGGACGTAGACGAGATTGTTTTGGTCGGTGGCTCGACCAGGATCCCGAAGGTTCAGCAGCTGGTTAAGGAATTCTTCGGCGGCAAGGAGCCATCGCGGGGCATCAATCCTGACGAAGCCGTCGCTTATGGCGCCGCCGTACAAGCCGGCGTGCTTTCTGGAGAGCAAGATACCGACGCTATCGTACTTCTCGACGTTAACCCTCTTACTATGGGTATTGAAACTGTCGGAGGTGTGATGACTAAACTGATTCCAAGGTAAATACGAGAGATTATCAAGTCTGTAAACATTGAGATTATCGATTGGCTGTGTACGGGCAATAAAACGATATTCTTTATTTGCGTAGAAACACGGTAATCCCCACCAAGAAATCGCAGATCTTCTCCACGGCGTCCGACAGCCAGCACACCGTCACGATTCAGGTATACGAGGGTGAGCGTCCCATGACCAAGGACAACCATCTGCTTGGCAAGTTCGACCTAACTGGCATCCCGCCGGCGCCACGAGGCATACCGCAGATCGAGGTCACCTTCGAGATCGACGCCAACGGTATTCTGCAAGTGTCGGCCGAGGACAAGGGCACCGGCAATCGCGAGAAGATCGTTATCACGAACGACCAGAATCGCTTGACGCCCGACGACATCGAGCGGATGATCAAGGACGCGGAGAAGTTCGCCGACGACGATAAGAAGCTGAAGGAGCGCGTGGAGGCGCGCAACGATCTCGAGTCGTACGCGTACTCGCTCAAGAACCAATTGGCCGACAAGGAGAAGCTCGGCTCGAAGGTGTCCGACGCGGACAAGGCCACGATGGAGGAGGCTATCGACGAGAAGATCAAGTGGCTGGAGGACAATCAGGATACCGAGCCGGAGGAGTACAAGAAGCAAAAGAAAGAACTCACCGACATTGTTCAGCCGATCATCGCCAAGCTGTATCAGGGCGCGGGCGGCGGTGTCCCACCTACCGGCGGCGAGGACGAGGATATCAGGGACGAGCTCTAACTGCAAGCTGGCGACCCGCTCATCTCGATTCGCGGTTTAGACTGATTACTCGCCTTCCGAGCAAATACTTCGCAGAAGTGTTGATATACACGAGAAGCTGAGCGCGGTATCGTGTACACACGCGGGATCATGTTCTCGCCGTACGTTTAGCTGAAAAGTGGCTGTCTGGTTCTAAGTTTTACTTAGATAATATGTAGCATACACTATCTATAACTTTAAGGCTTAGGTTAAGGAAAAGGCGTTTCAAGCTAAATGTGCAGTGGGAATAGAAGTCTTCGTCATAAGTTTTGCGTACGTTTTAAGAAAAATACAAGGGGATGTTGGTAATACCGAAAAATCGTCGGGCTCTCAAAGACTGAGAGATTGTGGATTCTCTCGAGAATTTTGACTCGACTTTCCGGTGTCATCAGCATTTTCGACACTGCGCTCATTTCTCTCTCCCGCGACACAAACATACCGGACTCCACCGCGTTGTTAATTTATTTCCAATTGTTTTGTATGTTTCCCTACTAAGTGTAATAATCGAATGGTCGATTTTCGCAGAGTAAAGCGCGTTGAAGATATATGCGTGAGTGTGTATGTACGAATGATCGAGAGAGTGAAATGCATCGAGACGCGCAGGCTTGTAACTCGTATACTGCCAGCGAGTTGCATCGTACTGCGTACAATGTAACCGTGTCTACGTGTGTGTGCGAGTGCATGTGTATCGATAATACAAGAATAAAGATTTTTTCAGTAAACTGTAACTTCTGTTGGGATACATCTTGTAAGATATTCGATCTTCCGCATCCCGAGATCTACCTACAGATCCTGCGACAATGCGTAAATAAAATAACACGAATGTTCCAAGAAGAAACATCTTATTTCAACATACGTCCTAATCACGTTGAGACATCTCTTTAGAATCTGCTATCGCTCGGCCTCGTTAATGTTTACACCTTCTCCCAGATACACCGAGTTTTCTAGATAAACTCTACAGTGTTCAGATTATTTGGTAGTGCCGTGGCTTTTTATTTCAAAGAATTGAAATAGGAAAAGACCAGTCAAATTGCTTCCAACCGCCGTATTTTACTTCTTCGTGGATTGCATACTATACATAGTAAATGAAGATATTAAAGTATTGTGTGATAGAAATAAAATCCAAAGAAACTAGGCATGGAAACGCCCCCGCTGGTCCATTCAACAAATTAACGGAATATTTCAAAGTCAAGTTTCCTTGCCGAGAGAGAAATTTAACTTCGCTGGGTACACGAAAATAACTTTCCTTTTTAGAAAAAGTAGACAACTTGTTTTTTCGCTGGTGGAGCCATGACACCCTCGGTGCCCCCGTGTGCGCGTCTATAGAGTGACTGTTAAGGCCCTTGTACAATGCTAGGTGATAGCGATAGGAACAGAATTCATAAAAATACAGCAAATAAGGCAATAGCGATAAAATTTCCGACGAGTTAAGGCTGGTTTATTCAAGGCCGTAACCGTTCGATTATACCGGAATCGGTAAAAATTGCCCAATCACCATTAAAAGTGAAGAGAATAGTTGACTGTAATTGTTTAATTTTTACCGATTCCGGCGCAAGTTAACGCCTTACGGCCTTGCATAAACCAGTCCTTAGAATTCTGTATCTGTTGCCTTGCACGGGCAATAGATACAGAATTTCAACTCGTCGGAAATTTGCTGTCGCTATCTAGCGCTCTGCAAGGGCCTTAGGAGTGTGGAACCAAGCTTCTGTTAAATAAGAAAATGCCACTTAAAATTAATCGAGGCTCGTAATCCTAATTCTACCTTCTGACCCGTCGGCGTGATAGCGACAATAATAATAATTACAGTGGGAGGTCGTTTTGAGAAAATTTATTTAAGGATCCAGTTCATATCGTAACAAAAACAGCACGGAATTTGTAGACATAATCAATTCCCTATAATATCTTAATTCGCCTATTGTGTACCGAAATACAACCGTTAACAGACACGATGACAATAACATAATTCGCTCCTTCGTGAAACCCCGACGTTAATTTGTTCAGAGCAATTTAATCGCTGGGCTCGCGCAATGTTTCACAAATTTACTTAGGTATAAAAATAATATCGAAATCGCGCGACGGACGTTTACCGCGCGTGATAGGATGGGAAATTTTCGTAGACTGCGCCGGAAAAGTTTTGCAATCTCGAATCACGATGAAATCAAGCTTGGAAAGGACTGCAGCTCGGTTACTTTTATCTCTTCGCTGAATATTGCGACACAACACTTTCAAGAACCTGATACCGAAGACTAGTCGCGTTTCACGTTGCGAGAATAAAAACGAATATTCTTAATTTGTAATAAACTTAATTATAATCCAAGATAATCATATAACATCTGCGTTTAGCCATCACGTTATACGTACACCTTCTATTTCTGTTCTGAAAATCCATCAGATGCGGTAGAAGATTTCGAGAAAATTGTAAATTGACTCCTACAAAATCCAAAGTTGAAGCCTCTCAATTCCTCGACATTAGGAATTAAGAATGGCGAGTGACAATTTTTTTTTCACAGTTTCGACTCGTTGCCCGTTCAGAAACTTTTCCCACGCAGCCCTTGTACGCGACAGTTCTTTTCACTTCGGTTTCCGCAGATTCCGATGTACCATAAATTACCGAGTATATCGCTTCGCGAATGTAGTCTACGTAGTAATAATACTATTCTTTAAACGAAAGAACGCGCTGAGAAATAAACTCGCAGCGATGTACAAATTTCGGGCGCTGCGATTAGCACGCGAGGGGATCTGAGGAGGGAGCAGCTCTGAGACTCCCGAAAGACTTTATATCTCCTGTCACACCGATCCCTTTCGCAACGCGAGAGGGAACGCGTGCTGGCCGCAACGGTATATCAATTTTTGACTAACGCTTGCGATAAAGGCATGAGATTTTGAGGCGAGATCACAGTGTGTACACCGGGAGCTGAACGGGGGGAGGAAAGGGAGGGGGGGGGGATCTTTCGAAGATCTCAAGTCTCTCCTCAAATACCCACGTGCGAAACGTAAAGTACTATCGAACAGGTAGCGGTGTGTGAACGGTATTGTTTGCCTGTGAATCGCTTTTACAGGATTTCCGTATGTAAAAAGATAAGGCCAAAAGATAGGCATTCAGTGCGTGAATCACGAACCAGAAGGACAATTTCTCTTTTTTTTTCTTTTTTTTTCGTCGTAACTCGCAGAGTTAGTACAATTCGCTTTTGCTATTTTACACTGAGAATAAGTAACGAGGTATTTCATTGCGGTTTGTACATGTAGAATTGAATATCGTTCCGTTCTTCGATCTCCAGCTCTTTTCTCTTCATCTTTTTTTTTTGGTATTTTTAGCATTTGCGTCGAAAACTTCGAACAACGGGTATTGAGCATTTCTTTTTTTGTCTAGTTTCTTATTAGATCGTTGAAGCGACAATGTACTAATTATGGAATTATAAGTTTTGTTCTCGTGTATTTAATCCTAAGGAACATGGCGCTATTTCGTACTTATGTATACGTAGTCAAGCGTAAGTCTGCATACGACTGAGAAGAAACGCGAGAAAGAACGTTAAAAAAAAATAATAACATGGAAGTCCTTCGGCTGACCTAATCGTCCGCGCGCACCAGATTGCTCCTCCTCTTCGAAAAGGAAAGATCTGCCCGCGTATGGGGGCGATTGAGAACGAGACGTGGCTCCCGATTACCGGAAGCGAACGCGCGGAAAGAAATCGAGCAATTGTGTGTATCGCGAGACTTTTTCCTTTTTTCCTTTTAACAAACTGAACACCGAAATGCCGCTAATGGAAACGGAGTGGTTACCCTCTACAGTCCTTAGTCCTATACAGATTTGCGATCAACCGACATTTGCTCCGAGACGGTCAATAATGCGTGTCCAGCGGCGCGTAAAATACTATGAGTATCGGATAAATATCGTTCGTGCTTCCTGGTCGAAATCAATGGTCGGTCCGGAACCTCGGAGAATCGTCTTCGGCAAGGAAGCTAATTTGTCTCCCCCCTCGATATCGCCAAGTGCGAGGATGTAGCGCGACCGAGACACGTGGCACTTGGTACCACGACGCACCCGACGGTGTCCCTCGATTCCTCCGTTACATCCCTTTGTTTCCCATTTTTAATAACTACATAATGCGGAATTTCCTATTTTCCTTCCTTCCTCTTCCCCTCTCTCTCTCTCTCTCCTTACGCGGTAAATATTTTCTTTTTTCTTCGTCTAGCATGAACACATTCAACATATTGTTTCTTTTTTCTTGTTTAACTATACAGCACATCCTGAAATCAATGGACTGTGAAATAACAGCATGGAGAAGTGATTCTCTTCAGATTCTGGCTGTACTGCTTTCCCTTTCTCTATCTCTATTTTTTTTTGCTTTTCTTTTCCATTTTCTCTCTCTCTCTCTCTCTCTTTCTCCAATGTGCCAGTCTATATCATATCTCGGACGTATATATTCTTATAATAATAGTATTAATGAATACATATATATCCGCGTGCACCGCGAGCGGAAAGGATTCCGATTTTAGAGTTATTTCTCGAATCTCGTGACTATTCGATATTACAGCTAAATTTAATATATTATAATTAATATAATTCTCGCGCAACGCTATGCGCTATTAAAGTGGAGGTTCGGAGCTTGTACTATTATAAGATTGCTATCAGAGATTGAGATTTTAGAATGAAATTGGTCGACTCTTGTAAACGTCTGTAAAAAAGAGCTTAGACGAAGTGCGGGGAATCCTCTCCGATCGCAATATCGCTCTCGTACATATACAAATACTTGTAATGCCTACTTGCTAATGCCAATGAATACATTGAGCTACTATATGTATGATCGTAGCATATATACTCTTAAAACTCTTGTTTAGTAACTAGACATTTCGTTTCTGAAAGGAGTTTTTGCCTTCACGCCAGAAGATTCTTTTTTTTTCCCCTCGTAAAAAAATGCGCTAGAGATTTTCCTCTCCTAACACTGAACGATTTAGACACGAGGTGTGTGCAGTAAGTGTGTATAAATAATTTTTCTAAGCGCGCAAATGCTCGCCAAAACATCAAGTTCGAGTAGGAATATAGTCCAGCGTAAAAGATACTGACTTCACTCCCGATAAATTAATAATTTATACAGAACTCTCTGCGGGACGATGCGCAACCGAGATTAACAAACATTCCTGTGGATTCCCTTTTAAAGTATCGTTCTTAAAAATAAACCTATGCGTAATACGTATTACGGGTTTATCTACCGCGTTGCAAGCGCAAGTCTGCTTGAAATTTCTATGTGGAAAATTAGTACGTGCTTTAATCGCTATATACAATACATCTTGAAATAGATACGCTTTTTGATAAATATGGAATCGATTTCCCTTGTGTGTTTGTTTTTCGTTCATTTTTCAGAAGAAACTTAACACGTCGCCAATTAATACTCTCGATAATTTATTAAACAAATATCTCTTGATAAAAGGACTTAAGGATAACGCTGAATTTCTTTCACGCCTAACTCGTCTGACTTCATCAGGAGCAAAATGCAGATTGCTTAAAGAACAGTCTACTTATATACCCTTTTTCGGAACACTGTCTATTGAAATAGAATTTACGTTGACAGCTTTCGATCCGCAGATTATCAGGGACAGCTGCAAAGAACAGGTGAATAGTTAAGCACTTAGTTCAAATTTGTTTCGAAGACCTGAGAGTTCATCCACGCTGTACTTTTTAGCAATGTATGTGAAAGAGGTACGTGCTTCCGTGGTCTCACGCGAGAAACGAGGGGAAAACCCGACGACAATAATCCGCAAATCGAAAGCCCTCCCTTTTCTCGAGATATGATACAAAATTTTCAACAAAAAAATTCATGCGCTAATTCGCGCAGAGACTCAACAAATATCAAACACGGTGCGCTTCTGGCCGCGTCACTTAAATACCATTTCCCTAGTTTGAACAACAACAATGTATCTCGTATCACAGTATTTATTCAGTAGTGTATTTAGTATTTGTCTCACGTTCACTTTGGATATGGCAAATATGAGATAGTAACAGTAAAATTATACTAATGTAAGTCTATAACTCTTTGGGGCTAAATGCATATCACAGTGGGAAAATTTTCAACGTTCCTATGTTCACCGTCTTCTACATCTTCCGCTTTCTTCTTTCTTTTTTTGTCTTTTTTTTTACTTATTTTAGATTATTATTTAACCGTCCAGAAGCGCACCGGTCCCAGAAGCGTGTCACTTTTTCTTTTTAATAAGGTCACGTTATCTATACGCATTATTACGAAGCATCACCGCCAACCAGAAACAAGCAAGCAATTAATAATATTAGAGTAAGATTTTTTTTATCATTAGTCAAAAAATGCACCGTATGTTACTTGAGATACGAGTTCCCGTATCTGCTATGCAGTCTTATCCTAACTTGTCGCTGCGTAATGCACTACTGAAACATAGGACTATTGAATTGTACTTCTTTTTTCCTAGTTTTCAAAACAAGATTGATTACAGTTGCATATGAAACTCCGGGTTTTCAAAAAAGTTTCAAAGTACAGGCACGAAAAAACTATTTTGAAAACTAAACAACGATCTGCCGCAGGTCGTTCTCGTAAACGTTAAAAAATTAAGTAAGAGTTTAAGTTAACGTTATCCCTAAAGTTTAAGCGATTCTCTGTGTCCTTACGAAACTAGAAAGAGGCAGAGAAGTTAATTTTAATTAATGTTTATGGCGGAGTCTTAACTAACTCTCCGCAGACCGCACCGAGCTTTTAGGCAGAGGCAACTAGAAAAGTTTTACAGCTTTTCGGAAAATGGGAAAACGAGGACTCGTATGCGGACCGCGTGAGCACGTGAGTTTGACAACATTAGTTTAGAAGAACGACCTCGTATGATGTATACTATAATAAATAAATCAAATACTGTACTAAATATATCAAATAAAAGCAAATCTCTCTTTCGAAACTGTTTTAAAACTCTACTAAAACATCTGACAGCTTATCTGTTTTAAGCAAGTTATGCTTTTGTATAAATATAATACATGATAACTGTGAATAGTTTTTTAAGCTGTTTTTAAAACTTACACATTAATGCCATCATTAAAATACGAATGTAGAAAGAGAGAAATCGTAATTAAATATACAATTAAATATATCTCAAAATTAGTTAACGTAAAAAACTGAGATTTCATGTGCAACAGTTTAATAAAAAATAGTCCGTAATTAATCTATATATTGCTTATATAATCGGATCGATACGATTCAGTATTAACGCTTTGCTAAAAATAAAATTGCCGAGTTATTTAAATCGTATCGTCAGAAATCCGAATAAGAGTAAAAAAATACCCGATCATTTTGTTAACAAAAAAAAGGGGGGAAATGCTACACAGCTCTTTCCTAACGCTACGAACATGTAGTAGATATCGATATTACCATCATGCCAATTATAGCGCACGATTATCTTTCTCAATCGTTTACCTATTTTCAGTACGTTTTAAAAGGTATATACTGTCTCTGTTGGATCTTAAAAAGAAATTGCTGGAAAACGAAAGTAAATAATTTGATTCAGTCATGGATGTGCAACAAGCCGACGTTCGGAATTGACGAAGGCGAGACAGTTTGAATTCCACAATTCGGCACCGCTTCAAATAATTTCCGAAAACTCTCCGTAATTTTCCTCCATCTTCACTCACGTTCCTTCGTTAGTGTGCTTATTAGTAAAACGCGATTTTGAAGGAAAAACTATATCCTCACCACCGGCTTCTACAACTGCCATGTGCTTGTATAGCGGAACATCTATAAAACGGATTCTTTCGATGATATTTTGAAGACCTTAAAGACAAAGTCGTGTCGAAATATGCTTTAAGAATACATTTTCTTCTTGAATAACCGCTTGTGACTTCTTGAAAAAACATGTTTTGAAGCTTTCTGAAGGTTTCTCCTGCAAAAATAATGTACAAAAAATATTAAGGCGACTGTATCGACGACCAATTCGTATCGTCTTCAAATCGACGGGATATTTACCAATAGAGATTTAACTTGTGCTTGTATCTAAAATAAACCCTGGGCGAATGCCTGGATGACATTAGGTACGGTAGCATCGAAACCGTTGATCGTCAGAACATGTCGGTCATAATCTTTACGATATGGTGAGGAAGAGCATAAAGCGCAAGTGATTAGTCTGCAAAAAGATCACAGTTTTACATTTGCAACGTGTACTATACAATTAGAACAAATATTATTCTGTATTTTTAATATAACACAATGGAAATCTATAGATATCTATCTTTCAAGATAGGATAACTAATTGTTTCCTGTAGATGTAGATTTTATGATACATGTATGTATATTGATGATGACAATTATATAAATTATTTCACAAAGATTTGCTAAAACTGCTTTGCAGTAAGCTATATTTATATTATTGTTGTTAAAGACACATTTTAATGCTTTATTGCGGCTTGTACAGTGATATTACACATTATTTGTCTTTTTATGAGCATATTAAAAAGAAGAAGAAAAACCGTTATGGAAATAATATCTTGGTAAAATAAATTGTAAAATATTGAAAAATAAAATTTTGTACACGACGCGAGTTCACATGCCTCTGCCGCTTCAATTGAAGAAATTGAGATAACAAATAAAAGTGCACACTTACTTTGCATGCGGAAGGTTCATCTGCTGTTTGTACGATATCAGACTTTCCTCGGAGTCATCGTACTTTTGGAATATTTGATCCATAACGTTGATAAAGACATCGTACTCCTTAGAATTTTGTTTGGCCCACGAAATTGGTTTACTGGAATTGATATTTCCCGAGGAAGGTTCCTTTAAAGCCTTCAAAATATCATCGAAAGAATCCGTTTTGTAGACATTCACTGAATAATGTCCGAGGCTCTTGAACGTCGCTATGGTAACGTTTTCCTCAGAACGTAAAAGTATCAGCGCGATCAAAGCAGCCGTCTCGAGGCCGGTCATATTACCATTCTGCCAAGTGTTTGCCTCCATTAATTTGTTCGTGCTGATTGTCACCAAGTAGCGCAAATTCGTAGATTGTATATTCTGTAAATAATCATAATGGCTGTGAGACAAATAAGCTAGATAACAATATCTATTTAAAACAACACATGCTCATTAATTTATATCAATGAATTGAATTACTTAATAACTCAATATTTAGGCAACTTACTTTAAATGACAGAAGGAATGCCTCATTTAGAGCGTCTGTTACTTTGACATTTGGATTAAACTTCAGCGGCATAGATTTGTTTAGCTCTCGAACTTTTCGTTTCTCATAGGTCAGAGATCTTAAAAATGTATATTTATCAATGGCAATTCAAATTATTTAAATCACATGGAGTACTGTTGCGCACTTACTTTCCGGAATACTGATAATTTTTGAGGGTAATAAAAACTAATGCTGGATGAACTTTACTATTCTCAACGCACTGTGGATCGGTAAGTCGTTCCGTTACTTTTTCGACCGCTGGTTCATCAGCATTAAGAAATCCAAGATTGTGAATCCTTTGCAGATTATTTAGAAGGTTACCAACATCCATTGACATTAGCAATGAATTCCAAACCTACACATGAAATAATGAAACGTAATATCGATTGATTAGAATCAATTCTTCATAAATATATTTTTAATGCTAAACAAAATTTTCTTTAATCGTTTATGTTGTGTCTAAAAATATTGAATCACTTTTTAACAAAGTCTAACGAATTAATTTGGAAATGGAAATCTTATTCTTTGCAGCTATCGCAAGTTCAGCACTAAATATCTTAGCAATCTTATATAATACATAACATGTAACTATCTGTTATTTCTTGTAATTTCTAACAAATTATACCTCCTTGGATTTTAGCAGATGTCCAGGTACATGATCCAAAGAAAAGCCATATGTTTCTAGCAAAGTGGCAGCGCGGACCTCATCCTCGCAATGTTTGAAATCTTCAACCTCTTCCATGTATTTTAGTAGCTGGTGGATGTTAGAAGTCTGTTCTATCTGATCACTTGTCACATCTTTCCTGGTCTTTTCCAAACCGTGTATTATGTACTTCAGTATAACTTTAGTTTCTATTAAAGAATTAATGGTCTAAGTAATATTTTTACCACAGATTAATTATAACCATTTATCATGACATAACGCAAATCCATTACGAATTACTTTATCTGTTAAATTTTACAAGTTATATACATATAAACATCTTGTACTACATATTTACTAATTTCACTTAATTTTCAACTTTTAACCACTAATATCTTGAAATCTAATTATGATCACAAACACCAACGCTACATGTAAGAATGTAAAGTAAAAACAAGATTAAGTTTATACAAAAAAAGAAATCAAGAGATCAATAAAGTTGAAGAATCCATGGATTTGTGCTGCTCTTCATAAACCAATGGCTTTGCGTTTACCTGGAGAATTGCCCAGAGGATGAGCCATTTTGACAATGTCTTTGTGCTTCCAGCCATACCTGCTTTTATATTTCGTAACGCACTCAATAAAATCCAATGGTTTCTTAGAGAGGTACCAATTGTTGATAGCTTTCCTCAGACCATGACCCCATCCTTGCGTGATATAATTCAACTCTTTCTCTCTGCACAGTTTAGAAACGAATTTAACAAACAGAATAAAATTCGGGGTAGACGCACAGATCTTTTTTACACTTTCGTATGCTGCATGGCGTAACTTCTCGCTTCTAGTTTGCCTGCAGCAAACAGCGAGGGCAAACACCAAAGTCTCTGGATGTGTAACCAAATTGCTCTCAAATGCCTACAAACATTCTCATTTTAGGAATAGGATTATAGGTAAATATTATACTTTTGTACACGTTGTATAATTTATAACAGTATACTTACTCTTGTGATCAGTTCAATGGGCACCAATTCCTTCTCTGTATCTTCAGCAAGTTCTTCTATGGCTAGAACATTTCTGACTATAAAATAATAATGGTCGAACCAATATCCAGGTTGGTAATTGGAGTAATCTTTTCCGATGTACAGATATCGTAATAAACGTAGTTCGGGGTCATTGCTATTGCCTTCCGTTGCCATTTCCTAGTAACAGTTTGCCTACAACAATTAAATTAGACAAGGATCTTTCAAATGTCACTACAAACTGTAAATGTCACGCTGATATTTTGTCAAGGTATTTCGCAATAAACAAAAGCCTATACAATTCGTATGCCAAGTTTTTAATTTGTCTCTAAAAGTGACACAGCTGTTGCATCTCGCTTATCTGTAATGTTTATTGCAATTTTTAAGATTATAATTACGTTGTGAGAAACATAAAAAAGACATTAGAAATTATACTGTAAAATACATAGTTACTTTATCTGTCACATACATGTGTGAATTTTAAATTGTGTTGCAAGGATTACGCAAACGTGGACCTCCCGATAGACGGAATATAACAGACATAAAAGAGACCGTTTCTGGACGAGAGCTTCCAAAATTGTAACCGCGAGACACGTCGAGTATTATTCAAGCGTCGTCTACAATGCGTGGAGTAGGCCTGGCGTAAATGCCGAATCAGACTAGCAATTGCAAACGCGGATTGGGTTGGGATTGGCGATTGTCCTCTAGCCAATGAGAGCAAAGCAGCCAGCGATTTAATCGACTCTCATTGGCTAGAGGACAGTCGTCAATCGCCAATCCCAATCCAAACCGCGTTTGCAATTGCTAGTCTGATTCGGCCTTAAGGAGCAAGAGAGAACCATAACCTTAAAGCGTCGTCTGCAATACGTGGAGCAGGCTTGGAGTAAAGAGAACCACAACTTTTAGTCTTTATGCGTCGTCCACAATGCGTGGAGCAAGCCTGGCACAAGGCGCAAGAGAGAACCGTAACCTTTAGCTTTCGGTGCAAGGAGGCTAAAATACAGGTATCATTTTTTTTTAATATTTCAACACTGGCCGATGGCGTTTCGATTCGCCGATCGTGAGCGTAAGAGCTCGGGAAGGAGTGAGAAATAAAATTGATTTATCTCCTTACTCCAGGCTTCCTCCGTGCATTATAGACAACGCGTTAGTACAAGGAAGCTAAAATACAGGCGTCATCTTCAATGTATTCGTGACACTGGCCGACGGCGTTCCGATTCACCGAGTGTAAGCGTAAGAGTTCAAGTGGGAGCGAGAAATAAAATCTATTCATTTCCTTACTCCTGCTCCTTATTCCAGGCTTACTCCATGCATCAGCTCTTGGTGCAAGTAGGCTAAAAATACAGGCATCGTTTTTTAAATATTCGTAACACTGGCCGATGGCATTCTAATTCGCCGAGAGTAAGCACAAGAGCTGACGGGGTAAGAAACAAAACCGATTCGTTTCCTTGTTTCCACTCTTTACCCAGGCTTGCTTCACGCATGTAGAGGACACATTAAAGCATGCAGGGGGGGAGGGGCAAGGGTATCCCTCGCTTTAAAACAAGCCACCGTTCTCACGCGTTTTCAAGTCTGACAGTTGGCGCTCTATTTTGAATCTCCCAAAATACGAAGGGCACTCGATCCGCATTATTTATATGACCTATTAACAGGAACGCGAATTACAGTCGCGTCTGACACACACACACGCGCGCGCGCGCGCACGCACGTACACACGCACAAGCGTCCGTACGTAACACGCAAGCAGGCATCATGCAGCATGCACGCGCATGAGCGCGGATTCCTTCGCGAGGATCGCGCGTATCACCTGGTTACCAGATAAGGTAACGCGGAGATACGGGAGGTGATGCGCGACCTTACGCACTTCGCAATCACGCACGCATGTATACACGCGTTCGCTCGCTCGCTCGCTCGCGACGCACGCACGCACGCACGGACGCGAGCCTGTCGCGGAAGCGACGTAGAGTTAGCGCGTAGAAACGTGCCCTCGCGAGGAACGCGATCGTCCCCCTCGACCGTTCTCGTCCAGCGGTTTACCTTGCCTTCGATGTGGACCGACGCGCGGAACGATCGCACACAGGAGGAACGGAGACTTACTGCGACGACGATCGCGCAACGACGTGTGCGGGAGCGCATTGACGCACGGAGCGACGCGCAGCGGCGACGGCCCGCGTTACGCTCGCCGCGCAAGTTGAACGCGGCTGCGCCGGGTGGCGCCACGCTGACTTTTCCCGCGATGTCCTCTCTCTCTC